AACTCCTCGATGATATTGTTGAGATGCTGGAGTTGTTGGTCAACTTCTTCGATTGAGGAAGTGTGGTTAGCATACTTTGCCTAAGGAAGTGTGGTCAGCATACTTCAACACCGTTGGAGGGTCGCGTCCATAGAGAGTCTTAGATGGACACATACCTGTGGAGCTACTATAAGTTGTGTTGAACCAAAACTCCGCCCACGAAACCCATCTCAGCCATTGTTGAGGTTGGCTATTGACAAAGCACCTGAGGTACGTCTCCAAACATAGGTTTACCACCTCGGTTTGACCATCCGTTTGCGGGTGGTAAGTTGAACTCATGTGCAGTTGGGTTCCTAACTGTTTAAATAATTCTCCCCAAAAGTGGCTCATGAAAACTCTATCCCGATCTGAAAAAATGGTGCGAGGAAACCCATACAGTTGTACCACGTCTTTGATAAACATATCAGCTACCTTTTTAGCTATGTAAAGATGCTGAGGAGTTAAAAAATGGCTATATTTTGTAAGACGATCAACAACTACCAGAATTGTATCTATCCCATGAGCCTTTGGAAGCCCCATGATAAAGTCCATAGAGACATCTTCCCATACTTGGTTAGGAATAGGCAATGGTTGTAGCAAACCCGCTGGGCTCAAGGCGTCGTATTTGTTTTGTTGGCAAATAGCGCAAGTGTCCACAAACTCCTTAATATTTTTCTTCATCCCCTCCCAAAACACTACATTTGTGATGTGTTTATATGTATGAAAGAAACCCAAATGGCCCTTAATGGGCGAGGAATGAAACTCATGTAATATTTTCTGGATATGAGGTCCAGATTTAGGCACCACTAACTTGTCATGGTACACCAGATGTCGTCCCACCAATCTAAAATAAGGATAACTAACCGGGTCGATCAAAAGTTGTTGCATGAGCCCGCGTAACTTGTCATCTTGATGAATGGCAGTGTTCTGAAAACTGGACAGGACCGTCCGGTTCGATCGGGAGCCGGCGGTTTCTTTGGTCCAATATCTTCTAAAAACCGATATTTTCAGTTAAAACAGATTGAGCCGCGGTTGGACCATCGAAATAGTGTCGAGTCGCGGTTTAATCGTGGTCCAATCGTAACTCAATCCCGCCAGATTCCGGCATCGTTTGACGGAGAAAACACCACCATTCGACTTGACGACATCTCCACGACAAAACCCATCCATTTTCAGTGGTCGTCGTCCAGCCTTTGTCGCTCGCCATCCACCTAAAGTTCACGCGACCGTCGGACTTCCTTCTTGATTCCGGCAATTTCTGGCACCAATGGAACTCCCTAACACCACCATCAGATTCGTCGGAACCTATACATCAAAAGCCCCATGATTCCAAACTTCGATTGGCCGTCGATCGTCGCTATCGCCACCACTCACCAGTCTCTTCGCGTGACAGGGGTGTTTTTACAGATTTCAAACCTTAAGGGAGTATTATAGGGGTATTTTTGATGAATTTCAAACATTTAGGGACTAAAATATAATTTTACAGGATACGGTCCAACCGACTGATCTAATCGGTCAAACCGAAAATCGGACCCTTGAACGGGTCATAGTCAGATCCAATTTTCGGAACATTGATGAATGGCATCTTCTAAATTGGTTAGACTAGAGAAGCAGCTCATAGAAAGAGCATGATGCTCGACAACTTCCGGCATTCTAGAGAGAGCATCTGCTGCCTTATTCTGTGGCCCAGGTTTGTACTAAATTGTAAAATCTAACCTTAATAACTTGATAATCCATTTTTGCTGATTCTCGCTCAACAGTTTTTGGTCAGTTAAGAAGTGAAGACTTCGCTGATCTGTCCGTATAACAAAACGTCGTCCCAAAAGATAATGGCGCCATTTTTGCACAGCCATAACTATAGCCATTAATTCACGTTCATAAACTGATTTAAGTTTGAAATTTAGAGACAAACCTTTGCTGAGAAAGGCAATAGGTCGCCCCTCATGCATCAATACAGCCCCTAAGTCATTCCCTAAAGCATCAGTCTCTATGATAAATTCTTAAGTGAAATTAGGCATTCAGAGGATTGGAACACTCGTCATGAGTCTTTTTAATTCTTCAAAAGCACATTGAGCTACTGTACTCCCCACAAACGAATCTTTCTTTAATAGAGCAGTGAGTGAGAGGGCTATCTCTCCATAATCTCGAACAAATCGTTAATAATATCCCATCAAACCAAGAGGGCCTCTGAGTGCCCTGATGTCCCTTGGTTCTGATCATTTAGTAATGCTCTCTATCTTTGAGGGGTCAACCGCTACTCCTTTTGCTGAGACCACATGCCCCAAATACTCTAACTGTTGCTACCCGAAATGGCATTTCTTCTTAGTGACCACCAACTGATTATCTAATAGTGTCTTTAAGATAATGCTTAGATACCTTGTATGCTCGCCCATCTGCTTACTATAAATCAGTATGTCGTCGAAGAAAACTAACAAAAACTTCCTTAAATACGGCTTGAAGAGATCATTCATTACTGTTTGAAAGGTGGTTGATGCATTAGTTAGGCTGAAGGGCATAACCAGAAATTCATAGTGCCCTTCATGTGTTCAGAAAGCTGTTTTGTTGTGTCCTCTGGTTTAACTCTGATTTGATGATAGCCTGACTTCAAATCAAGCTTAGAAAACACTGTTGCCCCTTCTAACTCATCAAATAACTCGTCGATAGCTGGAATCAGGAATTTGTCTAGAACTATCACCTTGTTAACTGCCCTATAATCCACAAAGAATCTCCAGCCTCCATCCTTCTTCTTGACTAATAAAATAGGACTTGAGAATGGACTTATGCTCGGCTTTATAATCCTAGAGGCCAACATTTCCTTGACAATACGCTCTATCTCATTTTTCTGATAGTAAGGGTACATATACAATCTAAGGTTTGGTGGTTGAGTTCTTGGAACTAATTGAATGGTGTGGTCTCTCGATCTGGCAGGTGATAATCCTGGAAGTGGATTAAAAACTTGACTAAATTGCTCCAACACATCCAACAATCGATCATCAATATCCCCATTTCCATCACATTGTGTCCGAATCTGTCCAAACTCTACCAAACAACCATGCCCTTCGCGTTGCAATGCCTTAATCATAGCTTTGAGAGACACCATGGTTTTGTTGAGTGATGGATCCCCACACAAACTAACTGTCTGATCTCCCAATTTAAACCTCATTGTTTGCTTTCTCCAATTAGTGACTGTCTCACCTAAAGTCTCCAGCCATGCAATTCCCAGAACAGCATCAACACTACTCATGTCAAATGGAAAGAAGTTTTGAACGATGGTAACACCTTGTAACTCCATACAAACATCTCTACACTCTCCTTCACACCTCACACTATATCCATCACCCACTTTAACCCCAAAAGATTGAGTTCCTACTACCGATATCCCCAACCTTTTAACCACCTCAGAACTGATAAAATTGTGGGAAGCCCCATTATCAATCAATACAATCAACTCCTTACCTTTGATTCTTCCTTTAAGCTTCATTGTCTTTGAACCATTGATCCCCACCACCGAACTAAGAGAGAGTTCGACATTTTCTTGTTGTTGCTCGATTTCAGGTTCAACTGTTTCTCCACCATCAATCGATTCTGGTTCACCTTCCTCTTCATCAATTAAGATGATTTGGAACTGTTTTTCACCACACTTGTGTCCAGGAAAGAACTTACCATCGTATCTAAAACAAAGGCTCTTCTCTCTTTTCTTTTGGATTTCTGCGTCTGTCATCCGTCTGAATGGGAACTCTTTTCGTTGAAAAGGTGGTTGCTCAAAGGGTCGAAAAGAGGATGGTGGTTGGTCGCGAGGAAAGTAATTGGTCGACAAACTCTATATTGAGGATTCGTGTGTTCGTCGATTGTAATTGGAAACAGGGGTCGATTTTAGGAATTCTGGTGAATTTGGGAATTTTGAGTTGTCATTGGGTCGAGCCAGATTTCTGGATCCATGGGTGTTGAAACCGTATGAAAGCCCAGGTCCATTCATGCGGGTAAACTTAGTTGCTCCTAATCAGCCTTCCTCTAAGGCCTGATTTCTCTCCTCTATTCTTTGGGCCACTTCAATTATTTGAATTAAAGAGTTGGGTTGGGCTAAACGAACTTCAGCTCTAATCTCAACTTTTAGCCCATTAACAAAATCAGCCTGTAATACCTCTTCCTTCTCCTCAACCAAAAGTGCAGCCACCGCTTTAAACTGCCGACGAAATTCAACCACTAAACCAGTCTGTCTCATCGCCATTAAGGACTCATAAGGATTATGCTCTTGTGATCCACTAAACCTCTAGAGTAGTGCAAGTTTAAGCATGGCCCATGAACTTGCTGAAGTTCTGGATTCAGTCCACTGGAACTAGTTGATGGCCTCACCTTCCATACAAACGGCCGTCGCTATCAGTTTCCCTTCCTCAGATATTTTGTTAAGGTTGAAGTAATGCTCCACTCTAAAAATCCATCCTTAAGGGTCCTCGCTGGAAAATATTGGCATTTCCAATTTTTGTCCTCCCATTTCAATGCGATTTTGGTTACTGTCACCAAACCCGCTAGCTCCATTAGGATTTTCTACTTTGTGAGAGCGAACATTTCCCGATGAGCGCATCTCCGTTCTGCTAGCTTCTTCTTCGTCCTTTCTTCGCACCTAGGATTGTATCTCTATCAAACATTCTCGGATAGTACCCATTTCAACCCCTAACTTTGTAACTTATTTCTCAACATTATCCATTCTAGAATCCATTCTCATCACAACCATTACCCAGAAACCAGTGCTCTGATACCACTTGATAGAACATTAACCTGTAATTCACCAAATAGCACAAGAAAAATCTATCCAATACCAATTCACAATCAATAATCACAATCAAGAAAAGGAAATAACTCTTTATATTGATGTTAAAATAGAACAGTAGATCCAAAGATCATGTTCTATCATCTACACAGTGAACAAGCAACAAATAGGAACAATTCTAAGTACAGCAAAGAAAAATAAATATAAGACTGAACTTCGAGGGTCAGTCACCTCCCCTTCCAAACCTCAACCTTCTTTTCTAAATATCCTCAATTCCTTCTCTCCCTCACTTTTATTCCCTGACACCTTTTTGCTCCTAACCGAATTCTTCTTCCATCCAATCTCATTAAGCCACCTGTCCTCCCAAAAACAAGTCCTAACCTCATGCATAACAAATATTCCTCTACTTCTCACCTCTACCTTTCCTATTGTAGACCGGCCTCCCAAGTTGCTCATCAGCCACAAACCTAAATTTGGTATGAAGCTTAATTTCAAAACATTAAAAGAAGTTTTCTTCACGTAATTTAATGTCTATTATTCATAAATTCATGTATAATTGTTCACATTATTTTTTCCAATATTTCAAAAGTAATGCATGATGATAAAGTGAATTTACTGTTTCTATCACTCATCAAGTAAAAAGATTTCAATCTATTACCTCTACAAGGTAATAATGGTAAAGGGTCACAAAAATCACACTGAGGGATTGCTGCCATCTAATGTCAGAAGAACTTTGTATAATTGTGGACGTCGATCACGAAATACTCCCCAACTACATCTCTTGGATTTAATTTTATCAAGATCAAATTGTGCTACAAGAATTGCTTCCTCTTTATCATCAGCAGTGGCAACAATTTCTCCAGTTGGTCCTGTCACCAAAGTAAAATATATAACAGATTCACAACATGCACTAGTTTATCATGTATGACTGAATAGCAAGCTAATAGAAGAACTAAGTACCTGCTATAAAGGAATTCCCATAGAATGTAATTTTACTATTACCATGCTCAGTCTCAATTATTTCTGTCCCAATGCGATTTGAAGCCACTAGAGGTACCTGAATCAGTCAAGTCTAGGTCAATCTCCTTTGCAAATATTGTCATTTTCCAAAACAAACTCATATACTTAGAGGCACGACAGGCATTGACATCTAACCACTGAAATATTGGCAACTGGAGTCCATACAAGGAAGGAACATGATAAGATAGACAAATGCAAGGACCGAGGATAATCCTGTGGGAATGGTACAGGCACAATAAATAATAAAAATATATCCATATTTTTATTAAATCGTGAACACCATTAAACGGATAAGAGTTGGCAAGTATTCATATGAGATGGGACTACATATTATCAAATTTCTACTCTTCAGTAAGGCTCACAATCGTAGGATAAAGATGGCAAGCTAACCTGGAATAAACTAGATCAATTTCACTACTAAACCAATGTTGCCGGCCAAGTAGTCTACATAACTTACCACATTAGCCCCAGCATGCCCTTGCATCACTCGTTTCCAGTGATCACAAGAATCAAGCCCATCATCTTGAGGTTCAGAACCGATAGCAGTAGGGTAAAACAATATCTCAGCACCTTGCAGAACCATGGCTCGGGCTGCCTCCGGAAACCACTGATCCCAGCATATTGCTAGCATAAAAAGGAAGTAGTTATTAGCTTTTGTCTAACTTCACTTCTCATTGAATAAGATGAAACAAAACAATAGTGACCATAAAGAAAACATCAAATTTGCAAAAGACACTTGTTTGATACACCATCCTTTGGGTTTACCCAATCTTAGTTCATTCATAGTCTACCTTAGATCATTTGCTAATCAAAAACCACCCTTGAACCCTAATGCTGTCCAAGTATGTTAACATGACATGGGCAATCTTGTAAATGCGCATGGAGGATTTTATTTTAAACCCTATATGAACTTCACTAACCCAACTGTTTTTCCTCTTCTATCTTCGACCACTGCCTCAAAGATGACCACCAACATAAACTTAGAATCCCATAACCATTTGCATTAAAACCCATACAAAAAAAACCCACTGCATAAAATAGATAAAGTTACAAAGCTTGTCTGGCAGTTCCTGTATTTGACAGATTTGGTTCTAGTGGTTTATGTTTGTTATAGTTATAAATCCTTTTTGTTAATGGTTTCTTGTTCCAGTATATTTTCCTTCTCTTTTCCTGAGTTTACTTTGAATTGATTCCCGTTAACTCTCTTTTGGGAATATAGTTCTGTAAAGGCCGATCAAAACTGCCTATATGGCAAGAACACTGGTTTCTGAAGCTAATATATGTCTACTTGTATAAAACTCCTGTTTTCTGATGAATGTTGGTTAAAGATCGGCAGTCATCAAGTTTGGCTCCATTAAATTGAAGTCAAGGTTTACAATAAACCTTATGAAAGGTAACTTGAAATGCACCTGTCTCACTATATATGACTAACTTCTCCAGTATACCATGGAATTCCCTTCTTACTAATAGCTATACCCAACCTGTTGGGCAAGGGAAATGATGAAACCATATGATGGCTAAGGCTAACCTAATGTTCATGCCAGCCAGACAATCTTCTAAAATTTCACAAATGCAGAGACATTTAATTAAAGTGGTGCAAGAGAATTAGATGTTTATATTTCAAGCTTGATTGTGGTTATTGATTGTAACAAAAAAAAAAAAAAAAACACATATGAGCATTTCTAGCATTTACAAGCTTAATTGCCGTAGTAATCATGATGAAAATTTGGGGGGACATAAGTAATTTAAACATAATATCCTTAAATTATTCATCACTCTGCAAAATTAGCGTAAGTGAAGGAAAAATGATATTTTCACAAATATTTCTACCTCTAAAGTAAAGAATTGGAAAGCATAAGGGCTCACGTGGTTTTTTATTAAAACTATCATAATTCCCATCTGAGTGATTATTAGCAAAAGTTTCGGTGTAGTTTATGAAATCTTTCCCTTTTTTTCTTTTGTTGATGATAGGAATCATTCATCTACTTAAAATTTACAAGCATGTCCCAACAAAATTTAAAATATTAATAAAATACAAAATCTAATAAATATACTGAAATTCAATAAAAATGCTTACCCACTCCAATTTTTGCGAATTTAGTTTGGAAAACCTGTTCATCAATACCACTAGTAAGTAAACTTGTTAAGGCAACTGACCACGTGAAAACTACAGAAGAGCATCAAGCTTATGATGAAATTATGCTAAGTACCAACCTTAAACCCAGTGTCCCCAGGATTAAAGTAGAACTTTTCCTGATACCCTGAAAAGGTAGGGAAAGTACCCCAGATTTTAAAATCACAAAAAAGACAAATCATAGCAGATTCAAGCAACAAAGCATCCCTTTTAGATACCTGGTCCATCTGGGATATGGGACTTCCTATAAAGTCCAAGATCGGTTCCATCAGCATCGATAATAGCAATTGAATTGTAATGGGCAGTGTTTGCCTCTTCAAAGAAGCTAACTGGTATCACTACGCCCAACTCTTTTGCAAGCTTCTGCATTCTGGACAATGACAATGTACACATATTTTAAAGAATTTTAACTGAATTGAGTCTGAAGCAGATGAAGTTCCACTTAAAAGATGTTTAATTACACTAGTGGCTGATTAATAGCCACTGTCTTAATTGGCAAGAGTTTGAAGGATCCAGCCAAACAAGCTAAATTATTTACCTGAGAATTGTAGGGTGTCCCTTATAAGGCTTAGCTCGCTGAAAGAAATCTTCCCTTTGTGCTTGACAGAAATAATAACCCTCAAAGAGTTCCTAAAGACAAACATAGGAAGAACAGCATGTAAGCTTAAGCAATATCTCGATAAAAGGTTTTGGAAATTAGAGTCACAAGAAAAAGTCATGTGCATCATCTCCTCAAGTTTACGACAAAAAACCAACAGATGCTACCATCAATTACAATACTGAAGCATAAATTCAAACCTAATAGAATAAAGGATTCCTCCCTTTATCATCGATGCTCAATAAATCTAATTACTATTGATGATCCAGGTTCTTTAATATTATTTTTTTTTTTTTGGTGAAAAATGACTCTTCCACCATCTATTGAAGGCAGAAAAAAGATCCGAAACCAGCTCAGCAGCCGAAATTAGATCTCCATCAATCACGTTGCAACTATATGAAATTACGAATGTTGACATCATTTCTAAAAATTGCATTTTTTGCATTGAAACATCCATTGCAATCCCTTCCACATTTCAGTGGACCAAATGTTAATGATAAACTTTCTGAAAATCGTATGTATTGGATGAGATGCTTACTTGCAATCTTGACTGACAAACAGCATAAATATACTTGTCCCCTCAACAATATAAATAGGCTCTGGTATCTTCCTCTCAGAAGAAAATAAGGTATTGCAATGAAGCAAGGGCGTGCCAACTTCAACCTTGCAGTTAGTAAATTTATGTGGCTACATAGAAACTTTGAAAAGCTAGAGGGAAAATTTCCTTAAGTTTAATAGCTTCAAGTATCGCCAGGGAAAACAGGAATATAGGTGGCACTTTTTACAGTATTAAAACTTTCTATGTAGCACCGTGACATTACCACCAGTAATCCCCTCAGATTAATTTCCACAATAGGAACAAAGCCATCCAAAAAATGGTGCTTCATCTTTTCACCAATTCCACACATTCTCCCAACATCCCTTCCAAGATGGTCTTCCTACCACAGCTTGCTCCATTGAGATGATATCAAAAAGCACTATATAGGGCTGATTAGTTAGTCCAAACTGTAAGTCTGTTAGAAGTCCATTACAACATCCATAATGCACTGACTTCTTTTAGATCCACCCAAGAACAAGGAATGCCACCAAAGGCCAACCATAGATAAATAATCACTTTGAATGCCCACAAGAACTGATTAGCAGTCCACACAAAATTCACAGCAGCCCCTATAGCTGTTTTTAAAAATTTTCATTTTTTGGTTGGGAAAAAATTCAACAATTACGAAATAATTGAGTTTTCTCCACCCATCTTGACTTTTATCACCAGTATCTCTTTCTTTTTTAAATTACCTAACCTTGTTTGAAGACAACATTGCTCCAGAAATTTTCAATAAACATAAAAAATAAATAAAAATTTAGCAAGCAAAAGAACCTATCCAAAAACTCTCAAGTTGAGACCTATATGGCACGACTGTTCAAAGATGAAGGATAAATATATCAAATAGTTTAAACTCTCTACACCAACTCAAGGTAATGTATTCACAAGTAAGCCTCCTTTTACTTCTAAAATCTAGAATTTAGCAAATAAATGAGTTGTTTTTTAGTTACAGGACAGAATAATGAGTTAATAAGTGTGTAAGAAATCAGAAAAGCAAATAAATTAAAACATGATGCAAATTCAAAGATACCTCCAGTGTGCGTGCGTCCATGAAATGGAGCCTAAAGGCAAAGGAAGCAATATATATACTCTGATATGAACAATACATGATTAAAATAAAGAGCAGTTACCTGAATAAGGATGATGTTTGCACCCTTTGCATGAGCAGCTCTAACCAACCTGCAGAGATGGAAGGTTAATCCGAATACTAAGTGCAATAGTACAAAATAAATAAATAATAATAATAAAAGAGGCCAGATAAGTCATGCTTAATCATTTCCAGGAATGAATTTCACCTAAAAGAAACGTGAGTGCTTGGGTGATATTTGAAGACAAACTTAAACTTTTTCAGAGAATTAATCAAATGAAACCCACCTTGAGGCAAGTAGCAGGCAATCATAGAACAGCGGAAATTTAAGAAAATAATGAAAGCATCCTACGAAAGTATCATATTTGAGTTAGAAAAGCGAAAGAAAGGAAAAGGACCTTTCAGCAGTGGCAACATTAGTGGAGACATCATCGGTGCAAGCAAACTGCAGAGCTGAAACCACCACTTCACCTCTCCTTCCATTCTCCATTTCTACTTTCTTGACGAGAATTCAAAACTCAGATGTGAAGAAGTGGTGGTTGTTGACCTTTTTCCCCAACTCACCGTCAATGTGGTTCTTGTCTGTAGATTTTATTTTCTGGGACAAAAACAACTTTGGGATTTTTGTGGATTTTGGTGTAGGTTACCATCACGGGAAGGGTTTTAAAAATTTTACCACTCCAATTATCATCCCAATTTTATCACATAAAAAAGGAAAAAAAAATAGCCCTCTCTTCAGATTATGTATATTAATCCGTTTAAGGTATATTATAATTTTGATTTAAACTAAAAAATAAAAAGTTCATCTTAAACGTTTAGTAGTGATGCTGGTAACTTTATTCCATTGGTTTACAAGGTCATAATTAATTAGTGAAGTGAATAAATAATGTTATATAATAATTTGTATATATGAATTTATATACTGTGTTTAAAATAAATGGCTTGCTATCCCACCACAAAACTAAATGCAATTTGATTATGTTGTAACTATAAAATGCAATGGAACTTGGAGGATGCTCAGTTCTTATAAAGCTAAAACAAAAACCCATTTTCTGGAACACCATTGCCAGACTCAGGATATAAGCAAATTGAAGAAAACTATAATCTGTCGAAATAAGCAGAGAATAACAAACAAAATGGAGACAATACATGAAGTAGTTTGATTTATTCTAATTACTACATGAATTCAGTGAGATGTGATAGTCATGGGAGCTATCGTCCATTGTTCTCATATTCATCACATGCATGTCATTCTCAGTCCTGAACTTCCTCTTCCTTCTTCCCGCGTGATTTGAGATACCATCCCAGAGCACCAAGACCAGTTACAGTACCTGCCACAACTGCATAGTTTCTGTATTTGTCAGTTGATACTTTCTCGGTTGATGCTCCAGCAGTTGGGGCCGAGCCACTTGGTTTGGCATCACCTCCACCCCCTGAGGTAGTAGCTGGTTTCTCTTCTGGCTTGGGTCCCTGAAATTATGATTCATAAAGCATAGGTTTTGGCTATTACCATTCTACCACAAGCTCATAAAATTTCCGAGAAAAAAATATATATATATATTAATTGGCAAAGCAGTCCAACATGTTTTCTAGATTGATCTTACAGACAGAGGAAGCTCAGAATTACTAAACACCTCAACGACGACATGATCTGGACTGTTGTGCACAGGGAATTTTACATAGATTTTACCAAAATAAGTTTCCAAATGAGGAGCCTAATCCAATCTATCTACCGAATTAAAGAGTTAAACATGGACAAAGACACTCCTAAAAGCTCTAGAGAGTAAAGAGCTTCGATAAACATGGCAAATACACTTGTTTGTGCATCAAGATTCTACAAAAAAATTTCTCTTTTCTATAAAAACCCTAAACTAATGTTACAAAAAGCGCTCAAGCAGTCATAACATCTATCTTGATGAAGCTTGCAACCAAAAGCTTTTACTGAGTGCTCAAACACTAGAACATTCTAAAAATTGGCATATAACCTATTGAGCCCTCAAAATAGACCATTAAATGCAAAAACTGGATCATACCTTTTGTGCCAGCTTCTCCAATTTCGCTTGTTCAGTTTTCTGCAATATTACAAATATTTATGAAACAGCGTCCAAAAGAATCACCGCAATATATACAAGCAAATATTTCAAACTATAATACATATTCTTGTCACTCACAAAAATATTGATAAAGCAAGCACATGTTGTCTTAAAGAATCAACTATAAAAGTCTAACTCAGGATAAAAGTATAATAACACTGTCTCATCCACATACATAATTTTCATGTTTTGTGGTTCCTGCATACCAATACTAGTATCTACTATTAAGGATTATTCAGTGAATTTGAGCAAGTCGCCATTCTAACACAATAGAACACCATAAAGTAGGAAAAATATACATGTACGTGTTTATTGATTTTATTTTTTATTTTTTGATAAGAAACATAGAGCACAACTTATTACAGCAGGTATCTTGATAAGCCGATGCCAAGACCCTGAGTTACAGTGAATTCCAGGTAAAACTTAAGTTTGCACCCATGTATTTACCTACTTACAGGATGCCCAGTTAAAAAGGGAGAAAGAATCATCACTTTGATACAACAGTATGTGATGAGACCAACAACACATTAGTGTATGGGAGGAAAAAAAAAAAAGGTGTAAAAAAGGGGATGAGGGACTAATTGTCAGGCTGTATGCGTGAGGTGTGGGTGGTACGAGGTTTATGAGAGAGTGACAAGTGGCAAGTGTTGATTGATGGGGAGCTGAATTCGGTTATAGTAAGAGAGTACGAAGAATAAAAGAGAATGGGAAGGATCTATCTGGATCATTGGTAAATTGTAAAAAGGGAAAGGGGTTGGAGAGGTGCTGGCCCTCGAAGTCCAGCGGGTTTCTTTATTTGTATGCAAATTCATCTTAATGTATTGGTTTATGTTTATCTTCTGTTATGCTTAATTTTAGTTGTTGATGAACTGTTATTAGAGTAGTGATGTCACAAAATTGTTATTCAACATAGATATTGAGGTTATTCAGTATTGCTTGTGTTTTTCAATTGTCTTGAAGTGGTTGAACTGTTCTGGTGTGACTGGAATTTCTGGGTTATTGACTATTGGAGTCTCAGAGTGATCTCAGTGGTTGTTTGTGAGTGATCTTTTGCTGGAGAAACATGGGGTTTCTATCAGAATGACACTGAATGCAATGTCCTCTCTAAATGTGCTTACACACAGACACAAAATGCAATGTCCTCTGTAAATGTGCATACACACAGACACACACACAGAAAGCTTAAGTGTATACATCAAAGATAATATGTACATTACCTTGATGTAAACATTTTCTGCAGCTTTTTCCTCCTCACTAAGAACTTTGCCACCACTAGACAATCTTCGGGAAACATGTCTTGCAAAATTCCTTGTTGCCATGATAGCTAATTATGTAGTCCCTGTAAGTAGAACAATGAACAATGAGCTTCCAAAACAACCGTAAAACTTGATCAACCAATGAAATTAGTCCAAAACTCTAAAAGACAGAATGTAGTTTTGTAACTACAGAAGGAAAAGAAAGAAAAAAAAACTCCCCAGATTATATCTGGCTCATTTCATATACTTGCTGACTGCCAAATTGGCGGCTTATCAACCCTGTCCAAATTCTAAAAAGCAGAATGTAGCTTTGTAACGACACAAGGGAAAGAGAAAAACATTTCTCCAATTCAAACAGCTGGCTCATTTCACAAACTTGTCAACTGAAAACTTGGTGGCAATCAACAAGAATATTACACCTTGCTAAAATAAAACATCGTTTATTTCTTTAAAGCTCAAAATAAACCAGCCTCCAAAAGCAACCCATAACATCAATTCATCAGCTGTCCTATAACAACAGAAGGGAATGCAGCTTCTGATGGCCATGAATATATAATTCTAGCTAAACCATGAAATCATTTTTGCACTCATGTATGCTATGTATCTGTACAAACCTACAATATATCAGTCTGCCAATGAGTTCATTGATAAAGCAAACAAATAAAAAAACAACAACAATAATAATACTAATAATGAGATGAATCCTTCACAGGTCAACCCCAATTCCTAATTTCCAAATTGAATGTCTCTAAAATTATACACATGAAAAACAGTTGAATAACTACCTTCACATTGTATTGGTATTTCCAGAGATAACAAAATTTCAAAATATGTTTAAATAGCTTCTCCAATAGCTATTCTAATGACCTGACCGATATTGTATAATAAAAAAGACTATGCTATATCACAAATTCACAATAATCGAATCACATTATATTTGGAGAAATTACATCCAAGCTTATCAAAACTTCAACCAGACGGAGCATTATGAAATTGGGTTAGCTAAATGAGCTACTACATCCAAATAACTAAACCCTAACCCAGCTAATGCTAATGTAAATATCTAAAATCGACCCACAAATAAGAAAAAGCATTAGCAGGATTTTCAATAAATGAAATGATAAACAAATCCATCAATTACATAATAATCATTGTATTAAAAAATTGAAAAATACATAAAAGGAGAACAGAAGAGACTGGAAGCGAAATATAACCCCGATTAACCACTATCAAAAAATCAAGAGTCGGCGACTGGAAAAATTTTCAAGAACATAAAATCTAACAATTTTTAAACGAAAAGAAATTGAGAAAAGAAATAGAAGTAAATTTAATTTTTAAGGTTTAAAGAAATTGAAATGGCTTACTTCGGCAAATGAAGCGGTCCACAGAGCGATGTAGGAATGAAATGGTGAGATTTTTTTGCTTAGTTTCCTAGTTGTAATTGTATAGGGTTTGATGGGGGTTTTAAAGCGGACCCAATCGATATGATTTACGGGAAAGAAGATGCTCACCGACTGATTCAAGAAAGAAATCGTTAGGATAAGTCAATTTTTAATATTAATCTTAAGTTTGTAAAAATTTATATAACAAAAAATTGGAGTAATTATAATGGGATTGAATAAAATCTGCCTTTAAATTATAAAAAGCTTAATTAATTTGACATCTAAACTCTAATTAGTTTTTAATTTTAAATATTTTAAGATAAGTGAATATTGATATTGATATTTAATTTTTTAAAATAAAAAGAAAATCGTAAAGCCACTAAAGTTAGCTTGTGATGATATAGGATGCATGAATATTAAACGTGTCAAATGCATACACATTTAAGATAAGTGAATATTGATATTCATACACATTTAAGAATATATCATTATTACATCAAATGCATGATACATGACAGTTGCAATTGCATAATATGCGTGAAAGTTCACATTTGTCCCTACTGCATGAATATTAAACATGTAGCAGATTCATAGAAATTAGGAAATTATAATTAAGATTCTTAAATATGTTTCTTGGTTTTGCTTTGTTTTTCAGATTCTTGAGATTGCATTTAAGAATGAAACGGTTGGCTTGAGTAATAGTATTATTGAGGAGGGTTTTCTGTCTCTTACTTAGAACTGTTTTGTATTGTTGGAACTATTGACATAGTTATGTAAATTATGTTTAAATGGAGGGTCAATATTCAGAATAATATTGAACAAGAAATTAAATTTTTTGTTTTCATTTTGCATATTGTTCATTTCATTTGGGTAGAGATTGCAAATCAAGTAATAGTCAAGAGGAGATGGTTTTCTTTTGATTATGGTAGAATTACTAAAAAAATAGTATTAGGGTAATATAAGGCAATAGATATAGGTATAGTATTTGCAGATCGTACAAGCAGTTGAGTAACCCAAACAACAAAAAAAAAAAAAAAAAAAAAAAAAAACTCAACGGGTAGAAACAGAAAAACTAGTTAACAAGGCTATTTTTCTGACAAAAAGTAACGATAAGGAAATAAGAAGGTTGTTGGCTTAATCAATAAAATATCATTTCAACAACTTTCATTTGTGCCACTAAAAAACACAATTGAACAATTTTAATTAGCACAAAAACAAAAATGGTTTCCTCCATCAAAATAACAAGCATGAAGATCAAAATTTATGGGGAAAAAATAGACTCGTCAGCATAACGGTTTCCTAACGTAAAAGATGGAAACAACCTATCTATCCATGACAAAGTGAGAATATGGTTTTCTTCCTCTAGGTATTGGTGGCTCTTGTGTAAATCTGCTGGCTAGCATGAGCTGATATCATCCGGATAGAACCTCTTGCCATCAAATCATTAATTGCACTACGTGCCAATGACCCATTGATCTGATAATGGAGAAAAAATAACAAACAAACATCATGCCAACTCTTAATGAATTGTCTAACTCCATAATTAGTCAAAAATGCATATGCACTCAAGTGGATATTAGTATTGATCAAGGACTAACATTGCACCTCAAAATTTCTTAAACAAAATAGGTGTAATTTAATCAGAAAATACAGAACACAAAAATAGCATAGCATATAAAAAAGAAATTGCCCTCAGATCTCATAGCTTAGAATAGATCATACATGGTATACACTAGTGGCACTAATCAGAACCTTTACACACCACCAAAGAGGTACACACTAACATACACAGAGAGACACACACACACACACACATATAGTATAAGAGAGAGAGAGAGAGAGAGAGAGAGAGAGAGAGAGAGTGGTGGCATGTAAAGATTATGAATACGAAACACAACCATTCAATACTGTTGATTTGTCCATCATTGGGCAAAATAGTGATGCTTGATACAGAATATAATCAACCAACAGAAAAAATAAAATAAAATCAACAACAATACATAAATGAAGGGTAAGAAAAAATAAAATGGTACAGTTCTATAAAGATGCAATAGTAAGAAAAAATAAAATAGTACAGTTCTATAAAGATGCAATAGTCATATCGCATTTAACATATATAGCAATGGAGCGCAGATCCAATTTTGGGCCCATGCCCTCAAAGCTAGAATGACATTTTCATAAGCCAATAACCAAATTTATGGGTTGCATATCAAGCATGTGGGGCCAATTTTTGGACATATGCAACTGAAACATCGCTAGATATATGTTTTCACCATAAGCAAAATCATGGTATCAAATTGAAAGAACAAAAAAGTAAACCAGTCTAGAAGCACACTCATTTTGTAGGGAAACCACAGTTGAACAGAAACCAAATATGGGAATTCAATTACACACCACTTATTCCATTTCCCTTCCATCATTCTTTTCCCCTCCCATTTCCTTTTCCACCAACCAAAATTATAGCCTTTCACAATGCCAATAGTTAAAACACATGATGTTAAGGCATAAAAAACATTCTCCTATATCAGCATTAACTTTATTTATGTTATTCGATATAGAACCTTCTGTAATAACAATAAATCTTTGGATAAGATGTAATAAGCTAGACATTTGAGAAAATCAAGGCTAATTGAAAATATATAATAATATTCCAGATAGCTTCACATAAAGTTGCAAACTATTAATTTACTATGCAATATTTAATGTTCTAAATCTAACAAGTGAAACAATCACCAAAAATAAATCAAGTCTAAAATTATATAAGCTAAGTGCGTACTCTCAGTCTGTCAGATAGGATTGAAGGAGTAACAAGCTTGTACTTGGGAACCTCCGAAAGAAGCTTGTCATACGTTGCCTGGTCAAATAAAACCATGTTGTTCACCTTCTCCTTTTGCTTTCCCTTGCTCCATTTCTGCAATCCATCAAGCAGAATAAATTGTCCACCCATATTCATATAACATAACATATTCATGAACATGACTACTAACCTGAAAACTACAAACTGAACTCAATAAATCAAAATCCATAGACTAATTTACCTTCTTCTTCTGCTTCCCTCCACCAGACTTCGCAGGCTTTGAGGATGGTGGTGGGGCCTTATCCTTCTTCGGCGCCTGCCACGATAATATGAACACAATTTTTTTTCATTTCAAGAAAAAAATGACATGCTAACACTTAAGAAATTAAATCAAATCCACTCAAAAACATCAGCTTCAGCTTTCTCATTTTCCCTTTCAAAAATAAAAATTAAGTTACAAGTTCATGTTGAGAAAAGAAATAAATATTGAAAACAGTAAATATCTCAGACATAAATCATAGTCACCTGGGGGCACTAAGAAAAACCTATAAGCAATTAATTACACTGAGCTAATCTAGTTACAGTAGCTAACAAATCTAAAAGCAATATCAGATAATTATCTCATTTTCTCTGTTTAATTACTAAGAAAAGACATGAAAAAAGAAAATAGAAATTATTTGGTCACTTAGAAAAATTTTGGATGAGATGAAGTACTAAACAATGGAGTAAACATTAGTTAATAGATACCAAATCTACTAAACAGGATCATATTTTTCTCATTTTATTTGCGTGAGATTTTTTCAGAGATCAAACAGAAGGCGAAGGACTTGAAGATGGATTACCATTATGCTTGGTGTAGTCGCAGGAGAAGTCTGGAGTGAAGAAGGAGATGCGGCAGCACAGAAGAAAATAGTGGAGAAAAGCAAAATATAGGGTTTGGCGTGCTAGGGTTTTGACTTATTTTGACTAACGTGCGCATGTAGTGCTGTGCACTTCCATAATTAGAGTGTTTACTGTTTAGACATGTATTGATAATATTTTCTCTCCTTTTTCAAAATTTTGGTACTAAGGTTAATGACGTTAATCCCGTAGATATGATAAAAAGACAAAAATTCGAAACTTTTTGAAATAATATATGGTGCGTTTGGCTTATTGTTTTTATTCATATTTCCAATCCTATTCTTCAAATGTTGTTTGGCACGTTATTCTCAAAATATTAGTATATTTTTAAATTATTTTAGGCCCCATAAGTTTATTAATCTCACTAAATACCCCCCATAAAAAAGTTTAAAAACTAACAGAAACACCCCCACCCACAATACTTGCCAGATTCCGGTAACCACCACCGGTGGTAGCTGGAATCTGTCACAACAGTCACAAGACCACCGGAAATGACCGGTAATGGTCAGATCTGGCCGTCAGCGATTACCAAAAAAATGGTCAGCGTTAACTGTCAACGACGGCCAAATCTTGGCCATCGTTGACAGACAACGATGGCCATATCTTTGGTCGTCGCTGACTACCAAAGTTGGCCTTTTCCAGCCATCAAAGGCCACATCCGGCCTTAGATCTGGCATTTTCTGATAAGATCCGTGGTGGATATGGCCGGAAAAGGCCATATCGATCGAATACCCACCAGATCCGACTGGACTTTGTGGTTATCCAATTTTTCGGCCAGATTCCGGCGGTGGTGGCCGGAATCTGGTGGGTGTTAGGGGTGTTTTTGTCATTTTATAATATTTTAATATATTGGGGTGTTTATTAAATTAGCAAACCTTTGGGGCCTTTTTCATAAATTTTTAAATTTTATCTCGTAATGCTCCCCTATTCAACTATCCAATACTATCTCCAAAATCCTACCCAAAATAATAAACCAAACGCACCCATAATTCTTCTGCTCTTAAGTTTTAATGTTAAAATAAACGGTAAAAAAATAATTTAATAATATTTACAAACTCATAAGTTTGTGAATTTTAAGGATTCACTTATTCATTTAATAGTATATTAACGGAATAAATTTTTTTGTAATTTTATCATATCTTGGAGGTCTATTTAACCTTTTTTAAATAACTTTTTATTTTATATATATAAAATATGTATAGAATATTTACTTATATTGAAAATTGATACGTATATTATGATGAACTATTTTAGTTATAATTAATATATGTTATACTGTTTTGGTATACATGTGATTTATTTTTTGTTTATAATTTTTCCCAATAGTTAAATACAACAGCTTTTGAATTATTATAAACAAAAAATAAATCACATGCTTTATATATCTTTTAGGTTTTGATCTTTTTTTTTTTTTTTTTTTTGGGATAGGTTGTATTTGACTATTGTGAAAAGATTTCACTCTAAATATATGGCTTATTTATACATTGCAACCAGAATTTCATCATCTATATAAAATATAGAATTGTATTAAGATCATAAGAACACTGTTACAAATTTAATTATAAATTATATTTGTCCATAATAACTAATCAATTTTTTTTGTATATCAGTATTATTTAATAACTAATCAAATACATGTCAATTTTCATATAACTAATCAAATATATAATCAATTTTCATATATAATTAAACCTATAATAATATATACACAATTGTAACTAAATATTAAACTTTTATTTTGTACAATAGAAATAGAATCAAGATAACAATAAACGTGACTTTATTTACTAGAACCATCAACATATTTTTCACCTTTATTTATAAAAAAAAAAAGCTCTTGATTGACATAAAATTTAATAATAATCTTTGGCAAGATAACAATATTCACTACAAAACTAATTACAAAGTTGTCATGGTTTTCATTTTGAATAATACTACACATACAACATTCTCATACAACATTTCTCATATAAAATTATGCTATAAAAGATGATTGGATGAAAGTTTAATTTTAATTTAAAATCAGCTAATCATATTTTACTACATAATGTTGTAGGAGAAATGTTGTGTATGTAGTATTACTCTTTCATTTTTTAGACCTTCAAGGCTTTTGTTTTAAAGGTTTATTCACTTCATTATTTATTATAAAAATAAATTTACATTTTAGTCCCTTTTTTATTTTCAATTTTTGTTCTCCACCCTCAAGTATCAAATGGACCAATTACATTACCTATATACGGTAATAGTCGCATACAATATACAAAAAAAGTTTCATTATAATTGTAGATGCTAAAATCTACGGTTATAGAAGTAAGGTCTGATCTCGTAAGGTTGAGGCCATTGACAATCCGATGCACTTGCACACAAAGCAAACAAGCATGAAGCTTATGTAGACACCAGTGTGATGTCTACCGTAGGCACTCTGACGCTCAAGTCAATAAGGCTGAACGAGAAATTTAGCAAGGGTAAGGGAAGAAAGGGTTACCAGAGGTTAAGTCGAAGAATAGAACCACATCGTAGGTGTATAGCTCTTAGGAGTAAAAGCTTGGGTGCAAGTAGGTGGTATTGAGATTGAATGCCTAAACAGAGGAGTGACCCCTATTTATATAATAGTTGTAGGATCTTCATATCCTGATACGACTCTGAATCCATAAGGGAAGAGGTCTAGTGAATAGGAAAGATCCTGGTTCACTTGACTTATTAGTAATAAGAGTCCTAATTTACCTAAGATACAGAATCTTGTGCAAATTAGGATAGAACCAAACAGGAAGAGTCCTACTTTTCTTAGTTTGGAAGGCCCGGCCTTAGGTGGGCTGTTGGTGTCTCCCATTTTGGAGGAAGGCTGGATTTGGGGCACATGTCTTGGCCCACATCACGAGTTCTGATGTTGACCCAACCGAAATAGGATCATAACCTTGGGTTGTTGTAGTGGAACATGCATGTCTGGGTCTAATATGGTCCCAACTAATTGTTTACCCCCATAGTTAGCCCCCCATTCTCTAAGCTAAAAAGTATTTAGCTTGGAGAGTAACTGGTTCAAAGGGAGGTTAACCAAGCTGAAAGGCGGTCTACCAGGACGAGCAAGTGTTCCCTTGACTGAGTGAAGATGACTCGTCTTGGTGAAAGATGTAAAGTGCCTCTGCTGGTTATACCTTCACATTCTTGGGTAGTTGAGTCCACTCAACTAATCGAGTCAAGTGCTAGGATGCGAGGCGCAATCCTTGTAATTGTGTCCACTCGGTTGATCAAACCAAGTGCTAAGATGCGAGGCACATCCTTGTAGTTGTGTCCACTCCGCTGACTAAGTCGAGTGATAGGGTGCGATGAGCGACCCTTTCTAGAATTCAGTCGACCAGTTAAGCTGAATGTCCGTGTGGTCTGCACTTTGAAAGGCAGATCTTGTCTGCTTCTTGAACTGGGAATCAAGTCGGTTTGCTCGGGTGAGTCGAGCTCTATGTGAGTGCAATTAGGTGGCGATGGGAGAGCGGGGCACGTGTACTGTAGGGTTATGTGGACTTTGAGCTCGAAACAAGAGATTGGGATCCCCAAGGTGGTCTTATCGTATGGCATGTGTATGATTAGGATCTCCTCTTTCTTTCAAGCAGGAAATTGAAGAGTCGTAGCCAATTGGCTATTGTCGTGTGTTATTCTATTAGGTTGGGTGATTAAAAGGGGGAAACCTTGAGGCGACTGTTCATCTTCGTCTTCTCTTTGTTCTCTTTTTCTCTCAAAGTTTTCTTTGGTCGCCGTTGAAGTCTTGTTTAGGATTTCAACAAATTTTCACGGTAAAATCCCTTCTTCGTCATAGAAATTGATTCTCTTTTCTTTGCTTCTGCTTTCCTTTCTTTTTTGGAGTAGTTTTGACAAGTTTGGACAAGAATGGTTTGGTATTTTTTGATTTCCTCGGTTTTGCCTAAAGTTTCTAGAAGTTTGAGTGAGCATTCTTGGATTTAGCTAGACCTCGGGGTTAGTAAAGTGTTTTTTTTTTTTTTTTTTTTAAGGGGGATTTTGGTTAACGTTTTAGGAATTTTGAAAAAAGCTTTAGGGATTTTGTTTTAAGAGCGAAGGGGTCGCTAGGAGAGTATTTGGTAATTTTGGGAGTTGGGTTTTTGGAAGAGATGAGAAAAGGTCAATTTACTCGCTATCTCCACTCGGCTCACCCGGGGTGCTTAATCGAGCAGAGTGACAACTTTTGGAGTCAAACGTAACTTCATCCTTCAAGGTGAAGGTTGATTCGGTCATCCCGTTGATCTGTTAGACCGAGTCGATCGTGGTGAAGGAGGTTTAGCATTCAAATACCCGATGTCGGATTTTGAGTTAAGTAGGGACAGCCAGGCTGAGATAGAGGCAGGAGGAGAGTACGAGAATGCTCCCACTATGGTGGTATTATCGAAAGAGGGTAATATGCCTGTAGGAGTTTCCAAAGGGCTAAGTGTATGAAAGATTCAGCATGCATGAAGAGTGGTGGAGATGGAGAATGAAAGCATGAAAGCATGGATTCTAAAAACCGGTTTTCAAACAAAGCTTGGAAAAGAGATTATACCTACTCCTTTGCTTTGGATTGATGAAGATCAGCCTCAAAGTAATGAGACCTCCACACTTTAACACCACCTTGAGAGGTTTAGAGAGTGGTCGTGGCTTTTAGAGAGAGTTTTGGTTTTGCTTTGAGTGAACAATGTGTGTTATGAACAAAAATGCAACCTTTTGCATTTATATATACTTGGGCAATTTTGCAATTATTTATTTTTCACTTCAAAGCCCAATAAAATCTTATTTTATAAAGGGACCCCACGAATTTATTATGCTACCCTTTGAATAATCAATATTATTCAAGGGCCCATGTAAACTAAACTAGTTTACAATGACAACCCATAAAGTTACCCTTTTACCCTTTAACTATTAAAAGGTTATTTTTGTTCATCTCATTAATCTTAACACTTTAAGATTTAATCTTAACACTTTAAGATATAATAATTAAATATAATTAATTATTGCTTGACCATTTTAATCCTTAAAATGTCACAAATAGTTTTCTATGTAACTATTACCATAGAAATCCCGTTATTACCCTCGGAAGGTGCTAGCCCTCTTCGGATA